GCCCTAAAAAAAAAAAAAAAAAAAAAAACCCTAAAAAAACCACAGCTCATCTAATTTAAAGCCATTTAATTTTCGCACACACCACACTCGGAGCTGCCTTTTTAATATTATTAAATTCCAAGCTCGAATGTGAGCCAAGTGCTGCATTCAATTAACTAATTGTTGAACTAAGTGCCTGGAAACAAAGTCACTAGTCGTAATGATTGACAAAAAAAAAAAAATCAGGATGTATCTGGATTATCTTTCATTAATACAAGAAAAATAATTGTCTTTTATTCCAAATATAAATCAAAGGTTTTCTGACTTTCAGATGAAACTCTCCGTCAGTCGACAACCTCTGTACAAGTCACAGCATGAAAACGCGCTCGCTGTGATCTTTAGTTCTTTTCAATTGTGCTACAGTTACTGTCAACCCCCCCCCCCCCCAGTCTCCTCTATTGATACCTGAAGAGGTGATTAATGCTCCTGCCCACTTCATTGCGAGCCAATGAATCACAGTGTAACACTGCAATCTTAATAAGAGCTGCAGAGTGATAATCAATAGCAGCGGAGCAGGAGTCTGTGTCCTGGGAGTTTGGCTGCACTGATGAAAACGGAGGCTTTTCCTGTTCCTCCATCAATGGCCTCGGTGATCAACAGCGTTTCCTTAATCACTAATAAAAGCCACGACCCACGGCTGCGCATTCGTCATCAAATCAAATTATGCTTTGGTGAAGACACGGGCATTTTCACCACCGGTTCACGCCGCTCTAATCAACTGTTAGCACACACACACACACACACACACACACACACACACACAGTCCATTAAATACACGTGTTCATTCACCCTCAGGTCCAAAAGGTTCAGAAAAACAGAAAAGATCGTTAAACAGAATCTTAATTATGTTTAGAGTTGATTCATTTGTTTGAATTTCATTTGCATTTATAAAAAAAGAAGAAAAATAATAAGTTTAGATTTTGTTCTTCTTCAGAGGATTTATATATATATAGATATATAAACAAATAACACAAAAAAAAGACTAAAAATAAAATGAAAATCAGTCAAAAAAGTCAATTCCATTTCCTATTTTGGCAGGAAATGAATAAAAATCCTTTTGTTTTCCCAATTATATAAATAACAGTTATTTGAGAAAAAGTTCCTTATGAAACAAACACAATGTTACGTGTGATATTAATTTAGATATAAAGTCAATATACAATATGGATATTTTAAATCCAAGCAGAAACAAAATTTAAAAAAATATAAAAAATAAAAATAAATCCAATATTTGTAAACACAGCTGAACAGAAAGTGAGAAACTCCAGTTCTCCTGTAAACAAAACAAAGTGACACTAAAACTGCATGGAAACCAGGTGACCTCTGACCTCTGCTGGATCGCAAATACTCATTACTACTCCTTTTTAAGTACGAGTATTTAGGATGAAGTATTGGGCCTGAAGCATCCTCATCCTGAGATTTTTTTTTTTTTTTTTTTTTTTTTTTTTTTGGACCAATCACATCGGACCAATCTCCTGTAGAGGACGGGATATGATTCAGTTTACAGTCATATATAACACGAGGCTGATCATTGGGATATTTCTGCTACGGGGCCGGGGTGAAACAGCGACACACAGATGGCGCTGCCGTCGCCTCACAGGCACATGATATGTGACACATTTCCATCTCACTCCCACACCAAAGTCTGTCACTGGTAAAACCAGGCAGAATCAGGCAGGTCTTTGTGCCGGAGGCCTGATGGAAACACACGGGCTTCAAGAGTCAGAGTGAAGGTTGGTGTTCAAGTCCGTTCACCAGCACATTATAAAATCACAGCTGAGGCTCAGGAAGAGTGAGGTTGGCAACATGGTGGCGCTGCTACTGCAGGATGATGAAGACGATGATGAAGAAAAAACAAAGGACGCAGGGTATAAATAAATCACGTTACTGATGTTGAAACACTTGGAGTACGATGAAGAAAAAGATGATGAAGAAGAAGGAAAAGAAGACGATGGTGATGATGAAGACGATGATGAAGATGATGAAGACTATGATGAATGAAAAGATGATGAAGAAGAACAAAAAGATGAAGATGATGATGATGAAGAAAAAGAGGAAGAAGATGATGAAGATGACGATAAAGACAATGATGATGATGATGATGATGATGAAGACTATGAAAAAGAAGATGATGAAGATGACGATAAAGACAATGATGATGACGATGATGATGATGATGATGATGATGATTGAGAAGATGATGATGAAGATGAAGAACAAAAAGATGAAGATGATGAAGATGCTGATGAAGAAAAAGAGGAAGAAGAAGATGAAGATGACGATAAAGACAATGAAGATGATGATGATGATGATGATGAAGATGATGATGATGATGGTATTGTACCATGGATTACAAAATATACTGAAGCAGGTTGAAGTGTCGTGGAATGTACAAAGTATTTATAAAATGACATTATATTACTATATATTACTATTAAAAGTTACTTTTTATAGTATGATATAAAAATGTGGAATGTACAAAGTATTTGTAAAATGACATTATATTTTTATAGTTACTTTTTATAGTATGATATAAAAAGCAGTGTAGAATGAGTAGAGTGTGAGCACTACTTCCCCTGGGGGGCGCCAGAGCACTTCAAGGCTTTTTGCAACTTGAAATAAAAAACAAATAAATATAATAATAATGGTAATTTGAATCGATTCTGTGTCTACATGTGTGCAGATGTATGTGGGTGTGTGTGTGGGTTGAGGGAATGGGGGCGCAGTTGCGTTTTGATCCCTAGAGGGCAGACTTTGAAAACCTCCGTTTGGCTGAATATCAGACCTTGTAAAAGATTCTCTAGATTCTCTAAGTGACGGAGTGAAGCCACGCCACGAGACAGAAGAGAAACCACGTCTTCTGACCAACCACTGACCGAGGTCTCTGTGAGAACAGATATGAAAAGATGAACTCTGAGGTCAGCCTCGGAGGTTTATGGAAAAATGAAACATGTCAGCTGAGAATTCAACACTGAGTGAATGATGAACACCAACATGTTTCTTTGACGTATGCTCTACTTCAAACTCGGTTACTCAAGTTTTCCATCTTCCTTTTCCTTCCTCAGATAACGAAGCAGCAGCTTCAGCAGACCAAGGACCGTTTCCAGGGCTTCCTGAATGGAGACACACAGATTGTGGCTGACGAGGCTTTCATTAACGCCGTGCAGAGCTACAACGAGGTACGAAACCACTGGAGTTAGGGACCTGTCTTTGGTTTTCCAGGCCTTCGCTGCCCCCCTGTAGGACACATTCTGCTAATGGAATAAAGTGATTACTATGTGGCTTATACACTACACAAAAGACCTGACAGATTAGGGAAGGTCAAAGGTCAAAAAAGCACTGGACAGTCGTCCACTGCAGACGACCTCTACGCAGCATCAGGAAATACCAATCAGAAACGTAAGAGATTGGAACAGTCGTCCACTGCAGACGACCTCTACGCTGCTCACAAAACAGTTTTTTTTACAGTCAAAAAACCTGACAGACTGTGAAGAACGTAGCATATTTTCCAGACTATAAGTCGCACCAGCCAGCTAGAGTGCCCTCTAGCGGCTGTCAGTGTGAAAACAACCAACATGTGGAATTATATATATTTTAATATCTAAGTCACAAACCCAGCAAAAAGGATGAAAAAAAGTGCAACATATTGTCTGGAAAATACGGTAATTAAACTATAAAAACGTCAGAGGTTTAAATGTTCTAACTGTGAAAAACAAACTGAATTTGGATTTTCTTCTTAAATCAATTCATATAAGGATCATTAAACCAACTGTTCTTCCTAAATCTTCACTGCATTTTCCCACTTTTTTCTCTGAAACCTCAGGTGTTCCTGAAGAGCGACCGCGTGGCCAAAATGGTCCAAAGCGGCGGCTTCTCAGCCAACGACTTCAGGGAAGTGTTCAAGAGACACATCGAGAAGCGCGTACGCAGCCTCCCCGAGATCGATGGTCTGAGCAAGGAGACGGTCCTCAGCTCCTGGATGGCTAAGTTTGACACCATCTACCGCGGCGACGAAGATCCGCGCAAGGCACAGCAGCGCATGACTGCGAGCGCAGCCTCGGAGCTCATCCTCAGCAAGGAGCAGCTGTACGAGATGTTCCAGAATATTCTCTGCATCAAGAAGTTTGAGCATCAGCTGCTCTACCAGGCCTGTCAGGTAGGGTTTTTCATCTGTTTTTATTGGTGTTTCACTGCTCCGTAGGTTTTTCTTTAACTGCCAAAAAAATGCTACGACCAGGTAAGAACAGAACTTGTTATTGTGGGGAAAAAAAAGGCTGTGATTGCTGGCGTAACTGATGACTTTAGACTGCACACTCAGTGTCAGAGTCAACCGTCGTCTGCTTAATGCACCGTCTAATTACTATAGAAGTGCTCGAACAGCTGAAAATACACTGAATTCCTCCTCCAGGGACTTGATTAAAATTCCTGTGGAAGCCTTTGGCACATGCACACACTCGGATACAAAAAAATCCCCAAACCCTCCAGTTAATTCAAACCTCCTGGACACGCCCCTTGGAAGCCAACAAGTTCTTAAAACCGCTGAACATCCTCCAAACGTATCCTCATTTCAACAGTTGCTGATTTAATCTGTGCAGATGGCACGAGCTGCCGTTCAACAAATCTGACTGTTCAGCAGCGCTGCACAAATATCTCATTTGGCAAAGATCAATAATGAGTCGCTCCTTTGCGATGTTCATTACGTAGAAGCTTCTGATGCTGAGGTGAAATTTACTGCTGCGAAAACCTCTCAAATCCAGTCGGCATCATCGGGTTTTTAAAGACGCTTCGGCTACTTATGAGGTGCTGATGTTGGAGCAGAACATAAAACATTTTCAACCAGGAGAGAATTCTTTACTGCTTTTAAAAGTGTCTCCTGGAAATTTTTTACTGCTTTTAAAAGTGTCTCCTGGAAAGACATCAAAGTGGAGGGCGTCTGTCTCCGAGGTCGGGACGCTCGCTGGTGTTTGACCTGGCGTGAGACGGAGGATTTGAATTGACGGATCAAGTCGGATTAGTTTGTGGCAAAGCGATGTTGGATGGAACACATGGCCCGTGTACAAAAACACGGAGGCAGAAGGATTCCACATAATTTAAAAAGTATGTCAGGGAGATAATACTGCATATGTCGTGTTGTACGGATATTAGTACTGATGAGAGTATCTGAAACGTCAGAGTGAAACAGAAACCATGTGGTTTTCTCCAGTTAACTGGACACTGAACGCAGCACTAACATTGAAAGAACCAATATATACGACTAAAATCAAATTGTTCTAAAAACAATTAGTGTGTAACACCTTAATATTTATATAAAAAAAGTTTAAAAAAGAAAAGGAGAAAATAGAGACAGAGGGCAGTGTCACTATTGACTTCATGCTATGGATTGAAATTAAATTTGAAATTAAGTTTTTCAATATGTATTTACAAAGGTGTGAATCATCGAATGCAGAAAAAGTGTCAACATCGTGATACAGAAATATAAAAGTTACCAAATTTATATATATATATGGGTAAAACTGCTACATGACTTCAGATGAAGGCAGTACGCTGGATGAGTGGTTGATGTTCTTGCCTTACAGTAACTAAATCACAGGTTTTAGCCTCTCTGTGGCTGTGGCTCTGATTCTGTCTCCATGGGTTTTTATTCACATGGTCCAAAAACAGACAGGATTAAATTGACCGCAGGTGTGAATGTTAGTGTGAATGTTAGCGTGAATGGTGGCTCCGTGATTGGACCATCCAGAGGCGTGACCGTGTACTGCCCCCTAATGGACGCAGTTGTTCAGGTGTGGTTGAACAAACATCTGTGAGAAAACGTTGTTCACGCAGGTCTGACAACGTAAACAAAACTTCAGATTCGCTCGACGCGCTGTTGTGTTCGAGGCTCGCGGTCGGTACTTTGTTTGTTTACACAGCTGTGGAGTTGAGATGTAAAAGCCCTGTGGCTCTAAATCAACGGTGACAGAGGATATTTGGACCTGAATACTTCAGTTTACTACTTTAATATTTCACACTGACAGTTGTTCAGCAGTGGTTGTAAATTCATTACCAAACAAACATCTGTGAGAAAACGTCGTTCACGCAGGTCTGACAACGTAAACAAAACTTCAGATTCGCTCGACGCGCTGTTGTGTTCGAGGCTCGCGGTCGGTACTTTGTTTGTTTACACAGCTGTGGAGTTGAGATGTAAAAACCCTGTGGCTCTAAATCAACGGTGACAGAGGATATTTGGACCTGAATACTTCAGTTTACTACTTTAATATTTCACACTGAAGTACTACCTCAACCAGTATTTATAAATAATTAATTGTTCCTCCGGCTCCGTTATACCTCAATTCATTCATCATCCAACATGTCATACTTTTCACACTGTGTGGGTTAGAGCCAATCACAATCAAACATTGGGAGAAACAGAGAGAGAGAGAGAGCAGGAATCGAACCAGCAAACTAGGAACACTGGGGCACAACCACTCCTTCTACTGTGTCACCCATAATATTTTATATGACACTAAACTAAACTAAACATTTCACTTAAATATATTCAGTAGAAATTAGATCATTAGTTTGGAATTTTAAATTGATTTTCTTTCATTATAATCTGTTTTGACATTTCTGTTGCTATTTTTTGAATGTTAATTAAGGACTGTTATATATATATATATTTATATATTAAATATATTTTATCCAGAGCTGAGAGGTCAAATAGTCAATGTTTGTCATTTCAAAGTACAATATTTTACATTATTACTATTCTATTATTACACAATGTAAAGACTTCATATAAACTACAGATTTCTTTTCACATCTCTATTCATCAGTCAGCGTATCTTTAACTATGCTAATGCTAACATGTGAATGCAGAGGCGATCGGTCGTCCACATGCAGGGCGCAGGTGTAGCACGTGCAGCGGTGTTTGATGTGCGACTGATAAAACCCTCTCAGATTAACAGGTCACGTCCGCAGCAGCTTCTCCCTCCTTCAGGATCCGACCAGAGCTTCCTCTGCCACTTTAATTTGTCTTATCAGCTGAGTTTATTTCAGAAATGAAGTTTGATTTCCTGGTTTAGCTTTTATCAATTATAATTGTGTGAAGCAGCCTCTCCGCTGCACTCTGGATTCCACAGATAAAAGCTTTGCCGAAGCCAGTCATTTCCAAGAAAGAAAAAAAAAAAAAAAATCAACGTGAGATAAAGTTTGACTGAAGCAAGGCTGTTTTTATTATGAGTAAAATAAACCTATATTTTATTATTAAAAATATCCTTATGCTGTGGATTAGTTGAACTCGTGCCCTTGCCTTACTGTAGAATGATCAACCGTTTGATCCCCGACCTTTATGTTGGGAGGTTGCACATTCTCCAGTGGATACTTTCTTTACTGTTTGTGTATTTGTCAACATTATATATTTGACTAATTGTAAACACTATGGTTAGAGGACATTTTGTACACGTTCACGTCAAAGCTTCACACTGATTTGTTTCCAAATGAAAATGTCTTCAAGGCTGAGACAAAAAAAAAAAACCACACTGACTCAGACAGAACAGATAATGATGATGTGGAAGTACAGACAGGCACAGACCAACTTAGCCCCTTAACAAGACACAGAGCTATTTTTAACCTCAGAAATATGTCTGTTTTTACCCATTCATTGCGGAGAAACTCAGCTACTGTAACTGGGTCAACTTGGAATAAAAAATAAAAAAAACACTGCAGCACCAGAGTTAGAAAGAAAAAGAATTCATCAGTGATTCATTTCTACCCCGCGCAAAACAAAACTGTTGTTACTAGAACAAATAATTTTCTAAAGTCTGACCTTCAAGCACATTTTGTTACAGTTTGTCTTCAGGTCCCGAAAATATGAAGAAGAAGCTTCCTCTCACATCCCACCCAGGAACACACACACACACACACTCACTCACACACTCACACACAGAGGAGGTCTAAATATAGATCCCTCGTTTCGACTACTCCTCCATGTTTCATCCAGTTACAGTCTAATCCCTCTCTGTTTTCTGCAAGAATCTGCCCCTGGCCAGGCAGGTGTGCTGTTGGCTGCTAACGTCCCAGCATGCACCTGGTGATCTGCTACAGTATCAGCTGCGCCGTAACCTCCGTGCACCTGGCTCTCCGTCACCTCTAACCTGCTGACAGCGCGGCTGACAGTGAGACAATGTCACCTTTGTTTAGCCGCCGCGCCGCCGTCGGTCCTTAGTGACGAAGATAGAACCCTTCCTTCCTTTTCACCGGCTTTGTTTCATGTTAGCCTACAGGTCACCGACAGGAGTGACCTTTCAGTGGAGGTACAGGTCTGTTAAAGCTGCTCACCTCCGTCTCCACTCTCTATAAAGACCGTCTCTGTCCAGGCAGAGCCAGGAGTTGGCACAGAAACAGTCTTCACGTCACTCAGAGTGACTGCTGAGCCGTTTGACTGAGGAGCTGCAGTCTGTCACCGTGACACATGTCAGCTGCTCAGCCGACAGAGTTATGATGTATTGGTGCTGTATTTTTTTTCCTGCACTCTTGACAATGTACCTGGACATATATAGTTATAGGTCTGTTGGGTTGACACAGGAGGAGTGCAGTGTCAAACCGACAACCAGGCCACCTGATTTTCCAGGCATGGCCCTGACATTTCTGCAAAGATCGCTGGCGCTGCAGTCTGAAGTGACTGTGTTTAAAGAGGCAGCACAGATCGCCAACAGCAGAGGAAAAGGGAGCCATTAGAACAGAACTGGGCCGTGAACGGGATCACTGACTGTCACCTCCGTGGTTGAATTTACTCTTCATCTATTGGACGTTACACTGGGGGAAAATAATAGCTCCTAAATGTGAGAATCTCTACTACAGGAAACTGAGCCTCGTTCGACTGTCACCGCACGGTGGACCAGTACTAAGTACAGTAGCAGTGCGCTGCAGTTCTGCTGCAGCTGGTGGCGAAGTCTGATTATGTGCTCTACTAAACAGGAACTCTGCATTATGTAGCAGCTTCTCTTTTCAGTGGCCAAGAATAGTCGGAGTCAGGACTTGTCAGCTCACAGTCGGTGTCTTAGAATTCTGACCTTTTCTGTGTCTGTCAGTGGAACGGGCTTCAATCCCCCGCCAACATTAATGCTCCGATCACAGAAAGTGATTTGTTCTGAACCGACGTTGGCGACAAGGAGT